TTCCCAGCCTGGTGCAGGTCTACAATTTTGTTTCTGGTGTCCTTTGACAGCTCTTTGGTCTTGGCCATAGTGGAGTTTGGAGTGTGACTGTTTGAGGTTGTGGACAGGTGTATTTTATACTGATAACAAGTTCAAACAGGTGCCATTAATACAGGTAACGAGTGGAGGACAGAGAAAACTCTTAAAGAAGAAGTTACAGGTCTGTGAGAGCCAGAAATCTTGCTTGTTTGTAGGCGACCAAATACTTATTTTCCACCATAATTTGCAAATAAATTCATTAAAAATCCTACAATGTGATTTTCTTGATTTTTTTTCCTCATTTTGTCTGTCATAGTTGACGTGTACCTATGATGAAAATGACAGGCCTCTCTCATCTTTTTAAGTGGGAGAACTTGCACAATTGGTGGCTGACTAAATACATTTTTACCCCACTGTATATGTATGTTTATATATGTATGTATAAATGTGTATGTATGTATGTATGTACAGTGAGGGAAAAAAGTATTTTGATCCCCTGCTGATTTTGTACGTTTGCCCACTGACAAAGAACAACATCACATGCGCACTAGAACTCAGGGAGCAGCGCGAGCGGCGATGACATCATCACGTCATCCAAAAACATGGCAGTCATTGGATGAATATAAAATGTTAATATCTTAGGCTGTGTGTGATGGAAAAAAAAATTGGCCTCAGCGACTATTATTTATATAAATACATTTGATAGATTGATTGATCTGTATTTTAGCTCTCCTGGTATATGTTCTGTTGTGTAAATTTGACCTTATAATAACCAGATAATCCCCTTACTACAGTTGCCGTCTCTGGATTTTATGTGAAAGCATTGCTGAAACTAACCCATGGAGTTTTCGCAGAGGTTTGTGTGGTTGTTTTTATGTCAGAACACATTTAAATCCACTACTTTAACTTCAGTTAGTTATTTGATGATGAGTGTAATTTAAACTCCCTTTCTGTGTCAATAGAACAAGAGAAGTCTTCATCACTATGTGCTGCTGTGATTGGTCAGAAGAAGACGTTTCTGAAGCGACTGAAAACAGCCACCATGGCCGCCCACCTTGAGGAAGTGATGCGATGGTGTCAATGAGGAAGTGATGCGATGGTGTCAATGAGGAAGTGATGCGATGGTGTCAATGAGGAAGTGATGCGATGGTGTCAATGAGGAAGTGATGCGATGGTGTCAATGAGGAAGTGATGCGATGGTGTCAATGAGGAAGTGATGCGATGGTGTCAATGAGGAAGTGATGCGATGGTGTCAATGCAGGAGGCTGCGGCAGGAGAGGGGGCTTCTGACATTCCTGCACCTGAAATGCCAGAGGATGAAACACCTGGATTCAGAGGGCTGCAGGTACAGGGAATCTTATTATAACTGGTTAAAATCAACTTTTATTGATATAATCTATTGCAGCTATCAGAATATCATAATGGGAAATAGTTGCAAATTAGTCTTAACATCTGTGAAAAGGATATCTTTGCAAGCCTTGTCCAAACGGAAAACTTTCAAAATACATCAATTATCCCGTATGATGCATTTTGCCTTTGGGCATAAATAATCATCAAAGAATACAATAAAACTAGGTTCCCTCCAAACTCACAAATATTGCCCAAAAATCACGATTGGACAGAAACGGGGTGCACTAAACCACATACAGGCCACAGTGTAAACTATTAGCAACTTATGTACAAACCTCTTTTAATTTATGTTGAAATGAAAATAACTGGTTCATTGTAATTGGTCATTAATCAATTTTTTCATTCACAGCAGCATACAGCCAATGGACGAGTTGTTCTCACCCTGATATTCTACAGAAATGGAGCACAACCAAAGCAGAGTTCAGATGGAGCCTTTTTCAGTTCCTCTTAGCAACGATACACGCGTTGGCGATAAGGTGTTGAAATACAAAGAGGATCTGATAAAAATTGGGGAAGTAAAAAAAATGCATGGGCTTACTTATTTCTGAGTGATTTCAGATGAAGCAGAACAATTACACTCCAGACAGACAAAGCATTTAAAAAAGGACGTCATCAGAATTGTCGAAACAAACCGAAAATACCAATATACAGGCCAGTTGCAACAAAGAGAACATAGCCTACCTCTGTTGTACAGTTGGCTTCTGTGTACTTGACAAAGTTGGGTGTGTCTAGTCCATTGTCTGACAAGCATAAGTCCTCTAAAGCAACGTCAAACATGATCACTTCAACCTGCCTGTACCGCTTTGCCCATTCAAGGAACCAAGCATTGTCACAGCTGGAAAACATCTGTAATGTATTGCAAAAACAAATATTTAAGGCTAGACTGAGGTTCTGTAAATCTCAGAGTTTAAATGTTCTCCGTATGTAGTCTGAATATTCTTAAAGATGTTAAGTCTTTAGTTAAAGTCCCCTCCAAAGAGTCAATCCTGCAGTTAGAACGTTTGAGAAACTCCAGGTTGTGAAAAAGGATGTTGGCAGTACGCTGTAATAAAACAGCCACCTATATTAGAGTCGGTTTCCTCGGGTGTATCAGCTGATTAATCAATGTTAAATCAACACTTTTAGCTGAAAGTAGATCTATACTCAAATGTCTCCACAGACCTGAAGTACTTTCCCATGAATTCAGATCCACAAAGGAATTCTTCAGCATCAGCATTACGATGAGTTACAGACTCCAAGAAGGGTCTGAGCTGGAGACCCAGGTTCTGTTTAGATGTGATGTTACTGCCGATAATGAACTGCATTGGCCTCATACCTGAACTAATGTACAGATCAGTCCGCTGACTCAGAATGTTGTCCAGTATGAGTGTGAGATTCAGCTTAATCGCAGGTTCTGTTGGTGGACAGTTAAAGTCCCCCAGAGACACGTGTCTTAGACAAGTAAGGTGTGTGAAAGACATTGCTTCAATACTGTGAATCAGTTTTCCCCGAGGTCTAACAATGGCAAACTAGGTCAACCAATAAGTGTGTTTGCATGTACATGGAAGCAATCACGGTGCTGTGAAAATTTTCCCTCTGCTTATTCAGTATTTTGATTGGAAGAATGGTGGCGTGCAAAGGAAATTAGTCGAAGTTAAAAACACTCCAAATGAGACAGCTGATACGATCGCGCAATACATCAAAGAAACACTGGAAAAGAATGGGGATTTTTTCGAAATGTATTTTGCATTTACAGGTGACAACTGCAATACAATGTTCGGGGGAATCCGACGTGATGAAGAAGGAAATAATGTTTTCGCAAACTTAAAGAAGTCATTGCAGAACAAGTCTTTAATCAGTGTGGGCTGCCCAGCACACGTCTTGAACAATTGTGTTCATTACGGGGCAGACACACTAGATGTCGATATTGAGAACATCATCTTAAAAATATGTCAATACTTTCACATCTACACTGTGCGCACAGATAATCTGAAGGAGTACTGTGGATTTGTTGATGTTGAATACAGAAGTCTCCTTTCTCACAGCAAGACGCGATGGCTGTCATTATTCCAATGTATTGAGAGGCTGCTACAGATGTTTCCAGCCTTGAAAGCATTATTTTTGTCACAGGAAAAAACACCCTCCTTGATCAAGAAGGTTTTTGAAGATGAGTTCAGTGGAATTTACCTCTGGCACATGCATTCACTCATGTGTGTGTTTCATTCACACATTCAGGAGATGGAAAGGGAGAGCAATTCAATTGTGGAAGTGAAGAACCTTTTGAACAAAGTCCACACCATGTTTCTTGAACGCAAGACCAATAACTTAAAGTTAAGGGACTATTGGCACAAAAGCACAAGGATGGACTTGGTAAGAATTGTGACCATTTCAGTGCTCAAGTCAGGGTCTGTACAGTTCATGCCTGGAGTATCTGGAGAAATGGAGGAGTTCTCCTCTTTCATGTGGATGGATCTGAGTGAGACACCTGACTGGAATGACATAGAAGCCTGTATCAAACACTTGGGAGAAAAGGGGGGTGCCAATTGATGATGCAAAGTGCTTTGATCAGGTCACCAACCTGAAGAAATTCACAGAAAGGTGTAACAGTGATGGAGAGTTCAGTAATCTGCAAGCACACAAGAAGTGGACCAAATATTTTGAAATGTCCAAAAGCATTGATTTTCATTCAGAGCTACTGAAGATTGCATAGTTTTTCTTTGCTATTCTTTCTCACAATGCAAATGTAGAGATAGTTTTTTCACTGATGCAAAGCCAGTGGACAAAGGAAAGGAATCACTTGTCTGTTGAGTCACTGAATGGGGCTTCTGTGTACACAATACAACTTTAAAAACATGTCTTGCAAAGACGTTCATGCCTACTTGATTGGTAATCAAGGACTGTTGGGAAAGATTCGATCTTCAGGAAAGTATACCAGAGAGCATCAGGAGGACTGACATTATTTTTGACTGAAATAGTGGATTTTTTTATGACAACTGTTTATTTTATTAAAATAAACAGTGTCATGTAAAAGGTGTTAAAAGCTAAACTATTTTTATTTATTTGTTTGTTATTATTCTCTTGTTGAGGGCCAACAGTTGAATGGAAATGATGTATTACTTTATGTATTAAAGTTCAATAACATAGTTGCATGGTTGTGAACGCATTTGTATTTACCACCCACTGCGGGTGTCCGTCTGCCTCCCTGTCCTCATTTTTGAAAACTAAAATATGGTCCCCCTAAGCTAGCTAGCTAACATTAGCCAAAGCAAGCTAGCTAGCTAGTGCAACCATAAGTAACAGTACAGATGAAGATGAAACATGATCAGGCCTACTACTGTACATCTTACTGTAGAAATTATTGTTGAAAACAAGTCTAGGTTGGAACTGTTGCTGTTAAGAGTTCCAACACTCTTCCATAACTGTCTAGGTTGGAACTGTTGCTGTTAAGAGTTCCAACACTCTTCCATAACTGTCTAGGTTGGAACTGTTGCTGTTAAGAGTTCCAACACTCTTCCATAACTGTCTAGGTTGGAACTGTTGCTGTTAAGAGTTCCAACACTCTTCCATAACTGTCTAGGTTGGAACTGTTGCTGTTAAGAGTTCCAACACTCTTCCATAACTGTGAAGAGAACAACGACGCCTGTGTAATTCTGACACGGCAATTTCACACAACTCGTCGGTCTAAAAAGGGGGATGTGTATGGCGCTCAATTTACCAAAAATGTGTAGTGAGTCTGTGTCTGTGTCTGTGTCTCCTGACCAGGAAGGGCTGTGGGAATCAGCCAACGGTCTGCGTTATTGACATCCTGAAGTTGCAGCAGGTTTGTCAACAGCACCCCCTGGTGGCACTTGTCCATCTTGGTCACCACACTCTGCATCTTGGTCACCGCATCAGTTTGACACCGATACCTTGCTGATACATGACCATGAATTAATGGAATAGCTTGAATGGGCTAATCCAAATCAGGTACTGTTTGCCCATTTTCCAGAGCAAAAAATTGATGTTATAACCCATGCACCAAATCTGCCCCAGTGTCCACCACTGATGACATGAGCTTTATTTAATACCCAGTGGAAATGATGGGTGGACCCAGTTGACTTAATTTTAGTTATGTGGTCCAAGTGCTTAATAACCTGATAGCATGAATACTTTACATCCTCATGTATTATGCACGGGACAGGGCACTCTAGAATCACTGCATCCACTGGCGGTTAGAGAGGAGTGACGTTTTTAAATAGCTGAGTTAGAGCTCCACACTAATATGCTCCCTACGGTCAGTGGGATGGAACATTACATACTGAGGGGGAGAGAAAAGGGTTACATGACAAACCTAGACGCCAGCAAGATTCTGTACTCTTAACATATACCCAAACAGCTGCACGCAAATCGTTGCTCAACAACATTTACATTTTTTGTCATTTGGCAGACGCTCTTATCCAGAGCGACTTACAGTAAGTGAGTGCATCATAAAAAAATAAAAATAATAATACTGGCCCCCCGTGGAAAATCGAACCCACAACCCTGGCGTTGCAAGCGCCATGCTCTACCAACTGAGCTACACAGGGCCCAACAACATGCCCTCATCCCAGATGAAAGATATGATATAATAAGTTCACATATACAATATTAATTGAGCAGTATGTCACTCACCACGTAAGGCCGACTGAACTCCTCATATCTGCCTCCTGCAGCCCGACACTTCCATCCACCAATAGCAACGTCCTCACCAGACTGCCTCCTGCAACCCGACACTTCCATCCACCAATAGCAACGTCCTCACCAGACTGCCTCCTGCAGCCCAACACTCCAATCTACCAATAGCAACGTCCTCACCAGACATTCAATCTACTGTATATAATACATACTGGACATTGATTGAAGGCTGCATAATGTAAAGCTTAAATATCCTACTTTTCATTGTATCCAGATAGGGCTCCACCATCTCCACAAAGTCCTTTGGAGCCCTGTGTCCATAACCAGGCATGTCCACCTTGGTGAAAGCCTTTCACACCTTGAAGAAGTTAATCTTCCTGGTATGGCCCTGAGAGAGAGAGAGAGAGAGAGAGAGAGAGAGAGAGAGAGAGAGAGAGAGAGAGAGAGAGAGAGAGATGGTCAAGTGCCAGGTAGTGAAAGTACTTTAGGGAATGTGTGGAATGAAAGAGTAGTAGTTCTCTCCCATAGGAAGACTTAGGACCCCCCAAAAAACCCATAGAAGATAAACAACAGATCTTAGTTTACTCACAGGTGTTTTGGAGTCTCTGACCTCTACCTCAAGAGCCAGGGAGAACAGAACTCTGATGAGAGAGGACTTTCCCACATTACTCCTGCCGATCAAACACACCTAGCAACACACAAATACAACACACAATCACCATGAGCAATATTACAATACAACACAACCAAGGGGTATGAGGACCTTCACAACATTTAAATTAATATTACAGTATATATTTTTAATATCACTTACATTTTAGTCATTTAGCAGCAACGTACAGTTTGTGAGTACATACATATTTTTTTCATACCAGCCCCCCATGGGAATTGAACCCACAACCCTGGCGTTGTAAACACCATGCTCTACCAACTGATCTACATTCCTGCCAGCCATTCCCTCCCCTACCCTGGGCCAATTGTGCAGGCCTGCTACGACAGAGCCTGGATTCGAACCAGGATCTCTAGCGGCACAGTTAGCACTGTGATGCAGTGCCTTAGACCACTGCGCCACTCGGGAGGTTGAGGCTTGAAGAATGTAGGCCTAGATCTTTGACAACTAGATCAGTCGTTCCTAGAGAGTCAGTGTTCAAATCATGTGACGCTGAGAGCACCGTTACAGGCCACTGTGAAGCAGTCATTTGTAGAGATATGCCAGTGTGCTACTGTAATATCCCTGGAGTCCCAGGGGACAATCAGAGCTACTGGTGCCTTCCATGTCTTGACACACGATGGAGTCTTGTCTGACACAAGATGGAGTCTTGTCTGACACAAGATGGAGTCTTGTCTGACACAAGATGGAGTCTGTCTGACACAAGATGGAGTCTGTCTGACACAAGATGGAGTCTGTCTGACACAAGATGGAGTCTTGTCTGACCAGGGGCGGTGTGTTCAATAGGGCGATATGGGCGACGCACTGCCAAACGGGAAAAGGAAGGGATTTTTTTTCTAATCAATTATATCACGGCAACAGTAGTTATCAGTGTTGTAATCTAGACGTCTGATCTGCCACAGTGCCACTAAATGTCCAATCAGGCTAAAGTCGTGCTTCAAATGCCCCCCCCCCCCTTTTGGGGCGATTTCAGTCAGGTTGAAAATCGCCCAGAAGTCTGTCATAGACTCCCATGTAAAATCTATTTTTTTCAAATATCAGAGCTTTCAATACAATCTCTATGGGTTTCTGAGGGCTTGCACTTACGCGCTTTCGTCATACGTAACATAACCATGAACGTAACTAAGAAAAGAGCGGGTAGCCTCATCAATCAATTCACTACTACTATCAAAATGGCTAGGCTTCAGTGCAACTCGATTGTGTCTTTGAAAGAAGTTCCTTTTTGTCGGCGAACAAATGAAGATAAATTGGCAACGAAACAATTAGGACCTCCCAGACCAAATTTAATAATTCAACAGGTTTCTACTAAAGGGGGGAAGTCCTACACCCGAGGATTTTCCAAAAATTGGTACTAACGAAAAACCTGGCTAGCAGGCTGCGATGTAGCTAATGCAGTCTTCTGCTACCCCCTGCTTACTCTTTCACCCTGAAGGCGGCACGGCAGACAGCACCGCTTGGACAGCGACTGGTGTGTAACGGACATGCACCATCTTTCAGGAAAGATTAAGAAACATGAGCTGTCAAAGACCCACATGGATAGCTGTTTGAGATTGTCTGCTTTGGGGAGAGTGAACATTCCCACTCAACTGGATGAGGGATACAGGCTAGCTGTCCGCCGCCACAACGATGAGGTTAGTGTTGATAATCACAAGTTTACTGGAGAACTGAAACTGACAAGGCTGACAAGATAGGACCCTTTTGTCCATTGTTATTGGATAGGAACAGAACTTATAACCAGCTCCTGACCTAAATAGATCTTAGCACAACATTTTACTCAACATATCATATTCCATATTCACTATAACAAATATATTTACTACGACATTAGCAAGAACCGCCACATCCTCAGCCGGCTAATCCAGTGTGTGAAGTTTTGCGGAGTGTTTGAGTTAGCTTTGCGAGGCAAAGATGAAACTGAGGGCTCCACCAACCCTGGTAAGCCAACACTTTTGAGATCAGTCAATAAATGCTTCTGGTATTGACTTATATGCTGCCCCTGTCTTCATGTTGTTGCTGGACATATCTTTTTTAAAATGTGTGTAGGTCACCTAAATCATCAGAAAAATTGCCCCCCCTGAGAATTTTTTCAGGAGCCGCCACTGTGTCTGACACAAGATGGAGTCTGTTTGACACAAGATGGAGTCTGTCTGACACAAGATGGAGTCTGTCTGACACAAGATGCTGCGAGCCGCTTCCCAGCGGGGCCGGGGGATAAATCACTGTGACAGGGGAGAGGAGGGTAACTAAAACCATGGCCGGGGTGTTAAGCATATCCCAGTTTAGGTCACCAAGCAGTACGAACTCTGAGGATAGATGGGGGGCAAGCAATTCACATATGGTGTCCAGGGCACAACTGGGGGCTGAGGGGGGTCTGTAGCAAGTGGCAACAGTGAGAGACTTATTTCTGGAAAGGTGGATTTTTAGAAGTAGAAGCTCAAACTGTTTGGGCACAGACCTGGATAAAAATGATAGAGCTCTGCAGGCTATCTCTACAGTAGATTGCAACTCCGCCCCCTTTGGCAGTTCTATCTAGACGGAAAATGTTGTAGTTCGGGATGGAAATTTCTGAATTTTTGGTGGCCTTCCTAAGCCAGGATTCAGACACTGCTAGAACATCAGGGTTGGCAGAGTGTGCTAACGCAGTGAATAACTCAAACTTGGGGAGGAGGCTTCTGATGTTAACATGCAAGAAACCAAGGCTTTTACGGTTACAGAAGTCAACAAATGATAGCGCCTGGGGAGTAAGAGTGATACTGGGGGCTACAGGGCCTGGGTTAACCTCTACATCACCAGAGGAACAGAGGAGGACAACAATAAGGATACGGCTAAAGGCTTTAAGAACTGGCCTTCTAGTACGTTGGGTATGGAGAATAAACAGGGCAGATTTCCAGGCGTTGTAGAATAGATTCAGGGCATTATGTACAGACAAGGATATGGAAGGATATGAGTACAGTGGAGGTAAACCTAAGCATTGGGTAAAGATGAAAGAGATAACATCACTGGATGTACCGATTCAGCTGGTCTCCGTGTGTATGGGGGGTGGGATAAAGAAGCTATCTGAGGCAGGTTGAGCGAGACTGGGGGCTTTACAGTGAAATAGTACAATAACAACTAACCCAAACAGCAATAGGCTAGGCATATTGACATGGGAGAGAGGCATAACGCAATCCCAGGTGTTATTCGAGAGGGCTAAGACAACAACTGGTAATGGCGATGAAAGTTTGGGCTGAGGCTAAACAGATAAACAGGATGGGGTACCGTGTAAAGGAACAGTCCAGCGGGCATCAGATGTGTAGCTGAGTGATCATAAGGTCCAGTGAACAGCAATAGGTAAGTCCGGGAGCAGTTCGTAGGCTGCTACAGCACAGGCGAGCAGGAGGCACGGCTGTTGATTGCGCGTGCTAGTTGGCCGGTGCTAGCGTGGTCGTCGCAACGGGAAGCCTGTTGAAACCACATCAGATGATTACGTCGGCAGACCAGTCGTGATGGATCGGCGGGGCTCCATGTCGACTCTAGGAGGTCCCTTCCGGTTGACAGAGAGGTAGATAGCCGGGAGATGGGCCTGGCTCGAGGCTAGCTCAAGGCTAACTGGTGCTAGCTTTGGGACAAGTGGTGATTAGTGGTGATTAGCCAACAACAACACCCATTCGGTTGCAGCTAGCTAGTTGTGATGATCCGGTGTTAAGGTCCAGTGATTCAGTGATTCCAGCAGAAAATCCTAAATGCTCTGGGTCGATAGCACGCTGTGCAGACTGGCCGATAATTGTCCAGGCTAGAGCTGGCTGGTAGGTAGTGCAGGCCACGGACAGTGGTGAAGACCGCTAACGGTGGCTAATAGCAATAGCTAATAGCAATTAGCTAGGCTATTTACATGAGGACACAACATAATACACGACCGCACTGCTATGCCATCTTGACCCACCACTACAGAGTTAAGTGGCATTAGGGATATCAGCCTTAGCCTATTTAACTAGCTCAAACCAGCTAATCTACCATTGCCACGATGGATATCAGAAATTGGCTTTGCCAAAGTACCCAAACAAAGGAGAAGGAGAGCGTTGAGAAGCTGCATCAAACCACCGAGGCTGACACTAAGCCCAGCAGTGATGATGCTGCCGAGCTCCGGCTAGCCTACCCACCCTTCCACAAGTGCCGCAAAGATAATGGCTCCACAGCTACCTCCAACTCCGTCTGTTCCTGACGATTTTGGAACAGAGGAGCCAGCCCAGGTTAGCTTAGAATCCTACACTATCCCAGGTTTTCTGTCCAAAAACCTTAATTTAATAGCAACTGGTTCATAGGAAAAGAGTAATTTAATAGCAACTGGTTCATAGGAAAAGAGTAATTTAATAGCAACTGGTTCATAGGAAAAGAGTAATTTAATAGCAACTGGTTCATAGGAAAAGAGTAATTTAATAGCAACTGGTTCATAGGAAAAGAGTAATTTAATAGCAACTGGTTCATAGGAAAATAGTAATTTAATAGCAACTGGTTCAGAGTGGCTGGAATACTCAGTTACAGCAGATGTGGCGTTTGGTTTCCCACGTCAAAAGTTCTGTGTTGGTTGGGTCCAATGCTAACGCAGACAAGGCCTTCACCCAAGCTGGGTATTCTAACTGGAAGCATGCTATTGATAGTACCAAAGGGTTTGCTAGGCAGGCATCAAACAAAGTGCATTTGTAATGCACTGCACTGTGGAAAGAAAAACAAGTTTCGAAGTGCTATTGGGAACATCGGTGTCAACACTTGATGGGCAGCTGGCAAGAAATTGCATGTATTTGTTGCCTATTGTGGACATTAATTGATTCAAACCAGCAACCACTGAGGGGGGCATTGAATGCGATAGAGTCAAGAGGGGTGGGGGCCAGTGGACTTTTTTGTCTATGATGGAATATACTCTCCGAAAAGACAAGGAACTTGCCAAGGTGTTTAGCACCATACCCCACAATGCCAAATCCACGTCACATGATATTCAAAATGAAATCATAGGGCTCATGAGTGGGGTGTCCACAGCTACATGCAATAACTAATTTTCCGCATTGACAGACGTGTTCAGTCAGCACAGAAGAAGCATGCTACACCCGAGGAAAGCTCAACTAATCCAACTGGCATTTGAGGGGGATCTTACAAGAAGATTTGGGGGAGAATGGATCGATTACTCAGGAAGTTCCACAGAACATCAAGGAGGCTGCAACTCTTCTGAAAAGGTAAGAAATAATCTAGCTGGTTGTTTTCTATCTAAATCTTGGTGGTATAGCCAGTGGCGTCATTTCAGCAAAACTCTAGGCAGTGGTGTAAAGTACTTAAGTAAAAATACTTTAAAGTACTTAAGTCATTTTTTGGGGTATCTGTACTTGACTTTCCTATTTATATTTTTGACAACTTTTACTTTTACTTCACTACATTCCTAAAGAAAATAATGTACTTTTTACTCCATACATTTTCCCTGACACCCAAAAGTAGTCGTTACATTTTGAATGCATAGCAGGACAGGAAAATGGAAGGGTCTAATTCATACACTTTTCAAGAGAACATCCCTGGTCCTCCCTACTGCCTCTGATCTAGTGGACTCACTAAATACACATGCTTCGTTTGTAAATTATGTATGAGTGTTGGAGTGTGCCCCTGGCTATCCTTAAATAAAAAACAAGAACATTGTTGTGGTGATGTGATTTGAAAGAGTCAGGCGCAGGAGGGTAAATCACAGAATAACAGGTTTATTCCGTTTACACAGCGTTACGCAGCAATGCGTCATACACTCCAGTGTGGAAATATACAGCGCACTGGAAACAACAAGGCACAGGGGTGAATATCCCGGCGATACAAAATACAAGCGCTCCACCAAGCTACACTAACCTCCACAATAAACAATCACACACAAAGACAAGGGGACAGAGGGAACACTTATACAGGTACTGATGAGGGGATATGAACCAGGTGTGTGTAATAAACAAGACAAAACAAATGGAATGATGAGATACGGAGCGGCAGTGGCTAGAAGACCGGTGACGACGACCGCCGAAGCCTGCCCGAACAAGGAGAGGAGGCAGCTTCGGAGGAAGTCGTTACAATTGTGCCGTCTGGTTTGCCTAATATAGGGTATTTGAAATCATTTCTACTTTAACTTTAACTTTTAAAACGTAGGTATATTTGAGCAATTACATCTACTTTTGATACTTAAGTATATTTAAAACCAAATACTTTTAGACTTTTACTCAAGTAGTATTTTACTGGGTGACTTTCACTTTTACTTGAGTAATTTTCTATTAAGGTATCTTGACTTTTACTCAAGTATGACAATTGGGTGCTTTTTCCACCACTGAATCTAGGATATGGAATGGCAAAATGACTTCCTTATTCTGCCTTTGAAAGGCCTTGCGTTAGTGTGTAGGCTGCTGGACATGGTGCTCATTGAGCACAGCAGGGATTTTTGCACCAACCTGTAACTTCTTAGTCAAAAGCACTCAATGGTGTCGGCATTTGAACTTTTTATGTTTGTGGTATAGCATTACATAAGCAGAATTCAATATAATTCCAATGCAATAACCCAAATGAAACCCCTGGGTATAGCTACATATTGGTATGTTTTAACATAGAAATCGATACATTCTATTATAGTTGTCTTGGTAGCCTATTGGTTTTCCTGGTTGTAAATGGAACTGCACGTATTGGAAACGTGTTTATGGTAGGCTGGCATTGCTTAATTGATTACGTGGGTCGAATTTGATCCACAGAAGTGTATTGTGCCATATCACAACGTGTTGCTGTACTCATGAGCGGCCTGTTTTCCATGTTTGAACGGGGGCTAATGGGCCTATTTGTTTGACAAGACATCTGTGCATGGCTGCATCTCACTGTAGTAGGCTGTAGGCTATGTTGTGGTTATCTGGATCTCCATTCACCTTTTGTTTACTGCGTTTGTTTACTGCTAATGTAACTAGCCTAAATATAGATTGTCATGCCTTTATCCATCTGATATTTAGTTTACTAGGCCTACTTGATACCGATGTTTTGTACTGTTGACCTTCATTTTTTCGCATTCTCAGATGTGTAGGCATTCTAAGCCAAACTGCTATTCATTATTTGTGTTTGCTTGCATGAATGACTAGGCTACTACTTTAAGCATTTAGTTTGTATAATTTTGGTAAGACAGCTGTACGTACGGCTGCAGTCACATAAGGTAATTCACCTATTACAACCAGCCTATCTATCGTGTAGCCTATGTTCATTACAAAAATGGCCTTGCGCCGACCTCAAGCAGTCTCGGAGTCTTCGGTATTTGAATTTTTATGTTTATTGTGGTAGTGTGTACACTGAACTAGCCAGGTGGGGCTCCAGGTAACTGAACGGGAACAGCAGGCCCCGGAGCTTCTCTGGGGGAGCAGGGAGGCTTGCTGGAATGAAGCCAGGTTGTGAGCACCTTGCTGGGATGCAGTCCAGAATCCAGTCCCTGGCTTCAGCCATAGCCTCCGCCTCCTGCAGAACATCTTGGACTCTTATTTTATCATTTTGATGGGTGAGGTGTTGTAGCTAGTAGGTAAACAATGACATGGCTATATTAACCTTTTATGGCAATACAGTCTCTCCATTCAGTCTCTCTCTCTCTTAGCAGTGTGTGCGCATGAGTCAGGTGTTCAAACACAGGTGAAGAAACACGCAGTGAGAGTCATGCATGTAACCGCGTTTAAAAAAACAAGTTTTCTTTAAAAACACACCCCTGTGGAAATGTCTCAAATTTCCAATGGTAGAGGGACCAACCAGGCGGACTAATTTTATTCAACGGACTCTTCCGTTTCTGGCATCTATTCCAGAGATAGAAAGGTATATTCTAGCTACACTCAGGGAGGAAGAGGAGAAGCGAGAGGTTTCACTCTCCAAAATCTGTCCAAAATAAGACCAATGTGTTTCTATGGGCTTATTTTGGACATAAGCTTGTCGCCTGCCTTCCAGCCTTTGGGACAACAACTCCTATTGTTAGGGCGACCAGGCGGAGACATGAACATCTCATCATTATTTACATATCTCTGATACACTCGGAAGCGTCAGGTCAGAGGTAAGGATTCTGGATAGCAAGGACCCTAGCTAGCATGATAACGTTGGCTAACTAGCTAGCAAGCTCTCTTACTTGTTTACTTGAAAGCCGTCTTGCAAGTCGTAATAAATGAAACTTACCCAATGACTTGTTCCTATATTATGCCAATAAGAACTAACCTGTGTGAACATGACTGAGATATTGCAGGCTACTGCCCAGCAGTGTTTTCCAAAATGTTTTTAGTTTGGTGAATTAGCATCCAGTTAGTTTGGTGAATTAGCATCCAGTTAGTTTGGCGAATTAGCATCCAGCTGGTTTGGTGAATTAGTATCCAGTTATTTTGGTGAATTAGCATCTAGTTAGTTTGGTGAATTAGCATCCAGTTAGTTTGGCGAATTAGCATCCAGTTAGTTTGGCGAATTAGCATCCAGTTAGTTTGACGAATTAGCATCCAGTTAGTTTGGCGAATTAGCATCCAGTTAGTTTGGCGAATTAGCTTCCAGTTAGTTTGGCGAAGTAGCATCCAGTTGGTTTGGTGAATTAGCATCCAGTTAGTTTGGTGAATTAGCATCCAGTTAGTTTGGCGAATTAGCATCCAGTTAGTCTGGCGAATTAGCATCCAGTTAGTTTGGTGAATTAGCATCCAGTTAGTTTGGTGAATTAGCATCCAGTTAGTTTGGCGAATTAGAATCCAGTTAGTTTGGTGAATTGGCATCTAGTGATGCCCTTACTTTTTCTATTGCAATCAATTGAAGCCAAACTTTAACTACATTAAACATTGTTACATACTCAGAGATCCGACAATGCTTACTGGGTTTCAGGTAGGGTAACTTTCCCATAATTACCACAGTTTCACAGAAATCCCAGTTGGAAGATTCCTAAAAAAAAAAAGGGAGCAAGGAAGGAATACATATGAGATCCAGAATCTTCCAAACAGGATTTCTGGAAAACCTGCAACAAAGTTGCAAGCCTAGTTTCAGACCAAGAAAGCTTTCTTCTCTTTCTCGCTTTGTTTGCATGTACACCTTTATATCCACTGAGTGGCAGTGTTGACTGTCCAAAAACCTCTCTCCAGCTGGTTGGCCTTGGCAACATCTCCCTCCCCTGTTGTCCTCCTCCTCACTATATATCCACCCACTAGTCTTCTAAACCTCTGAGTTCTAATTGCTGCAGTGATTGATGTTGAACTGCATGGGCTAATTCAGAGAAATCCTATCACTCTCTACAATATTCTCCCTCATCCGTTCACACTGTAGGCCTGGACGACATGCAATGATCATGCAGATGATTCTGTTTCATTCATCACCCACTTAGTGGATTTGGTATTTTACGCTTTGTACATGTACCTGTGTGTTACTAAACAGTTGGCTCAGTGCCGGCTGACTTAAAGTGAAAAGAGTTGGTCTGTGCGACCTCAGCCGGGCTACTTAGTAAATGAGAAAGTGTCCACTGCATTATTTCAGAGGGAGGAGAATGATGATCCAACAGGAATTACCAGCGAGGACCGCAGACAGGATACATTATGATCCCCCAGAACGACCACCAACCATTTATGTGGCTCTTAACACAATAGAGTGCCAGACGAATTCATTAAACCCAAAATCACAAATTCCCAGGGCTTTAAAGAGGCACTTACAGTGGAACGAGACAGTGAGAGATATACAGCAGCAAGTGGGATGGGGGGAATGAGGGAAGTAGAGATGGAGAGAGGGAGGGATGAGTATGGAGAGAAGGGGAGGGAGGGAGGGAGGGATGAGAGGATGGAGGGAGGCCCTCTCTGCCTCTCCTCTCTCATCAGTCTATCCCCCCAAGATCAAATGCCAAACCAATCAATCGTCTCCAAGCAGACATCCATAGCAGGGCCATGATGGCATTTACCTCCCCAGGGTCTCTATCAATAAAATAAAACAGAAATCATAAACAAATTGTATTGTCCCCAAACAACCCACCCACCAACGCTATCATCTCTCTCTCTCTCTCTCTCTCTCTCTCTCTCTCTCCTCTCTCTCTCTCTCTCTCTCTCTCTCTCTCTCTCTCTCTCTCTCTCTCTCTCTCTCTCTCTAATGATGGTGTTCTCTCATATATCTGTCTGATTTATGTGGTCAGGACAGGGCTGGCTGCACTGTGAGACGCATGCAGCCGGCAGTGGGGCCTGTGTCTACTCCAAGGCTGGGTGTGGCATTGTAGCACGAGGAAAGAGTCCAGCTGCACTGGTGATAATCCATTAACATCAACACCCACACACACAATAACACACACCACAATCTAAGAGCTAATGGTGCTTAAACTGACATTGATTTATCATGCATCCTGACCTCCGCTGGCCCTGCAAGACACATAACCACATTAATTTGCATGTTAACCACTATCACCCCCCCCCCCCCCCCCCCCCACCCCACCCCCAGCTGTGCCTCCATCCTTGACAGGGACACAAAGGACCGTGCGCTGCCGGCCCCTCCTTTTGTGTGAGCAGAAGGATGAGGTACCAAAGCAGTTTATCAAGTCAGGAGGTCAAACTATCAATACGTCTCCTACACACACTGACAACCATCAAGCACTCGCCGTGAGGGAAACCAACGCTTGTCAGAGATTATCACAATGTGTTCCTGTCTATATCTCCCCATTTGCCTAGTGTTGGGAGGCTGACAATGTGTCCAATGGGTATTGTATCTTCAGGCTTGCACCTGTAGCAACCATCACTACTCAATATTATTAGATATCACTGTTTGGCTCACAAATCTTGTTCAACTCGGGTGAAACACAAAGCCCACAAACTCTCAATTAATATCTGAGTTCTGCGAAGAACCATGTCTCTCCCATCTCCTGTGTTTCACTCTTTAAAGGGATACTAGCCTGCTAGTAGATACCCATAGACTTCCAGTCATTGCGCTAATGCTAGTTAGCATTGGCTCGCAAAACTACGTCTAACGTCCTTCATACTGGACACAGAGACATAAAAATGGTATCCACAAGTTTATCTGACTCTGGAAGAAGATAAAGGGCCTCAATGCTAAAATCCCTAAGTATCCCTTTAAGCGTCTGCCTTGAATACAGCATAACTATTTTGGCAGGTGGTGTTTGGCGGATATTAGAGAGCTAGCGTCTAGCGCTCAGGGATATTGATTGTGGCTTAGCTGCCAAGGGTCCCAGCTCTACTCCTCTGCTGGGACAGATAAAGAGGAGGGGTGACCTTGAGCCAGGATCCAGGATCCCGTAAGATCACCTGATAAATTAGCTATACAGGAAGGAAATGCAGTGAAAACAAACACTGGCTGGAGACGCATGCCAGGCCAGATCATTTTGGACAATGCTGTGATTTGATCCAGTTATGGACTGTAGTACTGGTCATGGGGAGGGGATCCCTCAGTCACACAGCTGTTTACTGTTCTCCTGAAACCAGATACATCTGAAACAACAAACTACAACTTGGTTTCTTCAGCAAAATAAAGAGCCACTGACAGACTGTCCTTTCCAGTGCTGAGGACTGAACACAAACACACACCACCCCCCCCCACACAACA